AAAATGAGGGGGAGTCAGGCTAAATAATCTCTAAGGTCACTTCTAGTTCTGTAATGCCTAGATATACAACCTATGGGAAAAGAATAGTATAGGACAGGGGTGGGGGACCTGTGGCCTTGAAGCCTGTTGTAGGATCCCTCTTAAAAAAGAAGGTAAATTTAATGGGACATAGCACACATTCTCACTTTCAAACTAAGGTTTGTTTCTGGCTTAGACACTTTGTACCTAGAGGAGCACACATACATACATATACACACTAATGCTATCAACTTTGAAACTTTGAAACCAGGCTGCAGTGTTGCAGACTCAATCTTTAGCTTAGCCAATCTCACTGCTCTTTCAAAGTTACATCTGTATTGAGAGGGCTGCCAAATTTTTTGTCTCTGTCCAGAAATATCTCAGGGTGACTGAAGTCTAGGTAAGAATGGATTACTGCCATTGCCTTCCACAAATTCAGCAGAAGAAAAGAGATAAGGGGCTTGCTTGGGCTGCTGAGAGATACTCTTCACTCCAGACACCTCACAAACATATCAGTGATTTCCTCTCTGTTTGAAATGAACATTGAAGAAAGCATTGTGGTAATGAGTTCTCTTTTGCATAGCTTTAAGCTCTCTCATTCTTAAGTAGAAACATGGACAGAAGCAAGAAATCCATTATCTGGGTGGGGGTGGGGGTGGAATACGGTTTTTTGTTTGTTTTCACTACAGAGTCAGAGTTTGAAATAACACATGGTTGGCATCAGATCATTCTAGGTTTATCTGGATAATGCACCTGGAAATGTGTGACCCACAAGTCCAAAGAAAAACCATTCAGTATTTTTCAGCATATTGGTCTGATGTGGGTTTATTTGAAATGTACATATGTTCACATGTGCACATATACAACATAATGTAGCCACATTCACCCACACGTGCAATTGTGCCCTATAGCTCTATGAGGAGGCAAAATCTGAAGACTGTCCTATTAATTAGCAAGGCAGTGAAGTATTTTGGGTACTTTGGGTATTTGAAGTACTGTGTTGGTAGACACAAGTTGTGGGAATGTGCAGCCTCAAGGCCACACGTGGACCTCTAAGTCCTCAAGTGTGGCCCTTCTATGAAGCCAAACTTCACAGAACAAATCCTCTTAATAAAGGATTTGATCTGTGAAGTTTGGATTCAGTCAAAGGCCCACACTTGAGGACCTAGAGGGCCACATGTAGCCTCAAGGCCACAGGTTCCCCACCTCTGATCTAGGTTCTAGTCTTGACTCCAACACTTGCTAGCTGGTTTACTCTGGGTTACTCACTCAACTTTCCTGAGTTTCCTCATCTGTAAAATGGCAATTTTATTTGTACCTAACATAGTTACTATGAGGAAAGAACTATGTGAATGATCAAAACTTTATACAGATGTGAATCATTATATTTGAACTTTTAGTTAATAAAATTCAATAGTAAGAAGCAGAATGGTGTACAAAGGATCAGTCTTGGAGTCAGGAAGACCTGGGTTCAGGTCTAGCTCATACATAAACTAGCTATTTCATCATATTTAAATCCTAAAATCTCTCAAGAGCCTCAAGTGACTCTTTAAGAAAATAGCAGAGTTGGGGCAGCTAGGTGGCACAGTGCATAGCATACCAGCCTGGGAGTCAGGAGGACCTGAGTTCAAATGTGACCTCAGACACTTATTCACTGCGTGACCCTGGGCAAGTCACTTAACCCCAATTGCCTTCCCAAAAAAAGAGAAAAAAAAGAAAATAGCAGAGTTGTTGACATGTATCATGTCCATTGTTGTCTGACAGGAGGTGGTTTTAAAGGCGGTGGTTTGACCTGCCTGGCACACCCTCCCTCCTGTCTCCTAGCTCCACATGGGAGCTCCCAGTCTTGAGGAAATAGCAGTTCTGGATTTCTTTTTAATTGAATAACAATTATTAGGGGGGGATGCATTGGTGTGGAAAAAGACAACACCCATTTCTATTTGACTTTGGGACATATCCTCAGACTATGAGGCAGTTTTCTTCTTGTTTTGCTTGGGGCTTCGATCAAAGTTAGTTTGCATTCTCCCAGCATGGTGGCACAGGAACACAGAGCAGGGGAGAGAAAAGAAGAAAAGACTGGAATTATAATTTTTTTTTCAGCAACTACATAGCCCAGAGTTGTCTGTGTTTACGCACTTTTCCTCCTAAACTGTCACCTTGGTGCTTAGCTTCTTGCAAGTTAGAGGGGAGAAAGAACATGAGACTTTTTGACCTTTGCTAGAGCATCTGTGATTTAAAGGAAAAGAATCAGGCTTTGCTGAGTGAAGTGAGCAGAGCCAGGAGAACATTGTACACAATAATAATGACACTGTGCAATGATTAACTATGACTGACTTAGCTCTTCTCAGCAATACAATGATCCAAGACAATTCTAAAAGACTCGTGATGGTAAATGCTATCCACATAGAGAAAAAGAACTGATGGAGTCTCAATACAGATTGAAGAATACTGTTTTTTTCATGTTTTTTTTCCTTTTGTTCTCTTTCTTCTTTCACAACATGACTAATGTGGAAATGCATTTTACACGATTGCACATGTATAACCTTTATCAAATTGCTTACCATCCTGGGGAGGAGGGAAGAGAGGGAGGGAGGAAAATTTGGAACTCAAAATCTTTCCAAAAAATGAATGTTGAAAATTGTCTTTACATGTAACTAGAAAAATAAAATACTATTAAATTTTTTAAAAAGAAAAAAAAGAATCAGACTCAATGGATATCAGAGGATGATGGTAAATTTCTGCTTTATAAAGATGATTTGGCTTTCCTTTCCTTATTCCCTTTGCATCCCACCCTGTGTCCAGGCGTGGAGGTGAGCCGCCATACTCTCTTTACAAGACAGTGCCATCCTGATGGCTGTCCTCCTAATGACAGCCTGTGGCGAAGTGGATGGATCTTAGTTTTACTTACTGACACTGACACAGGAGCATGAAGCCAATTCATCAGGGACTTCAGCTGACCACAGGCTCATGACAAGTCCTAGATGTGACTTGGCTACTAAGATAGCCCAGGCTGCACTGATTCTTTTTTTTTGTTTGTTTTGTTTTGTTTTGTTTTGCCTCTGATGTGGCAGGTGGTGTGGTAAGAGCCAGGAATACAAAGTGAAAAACTAAATAGCCCTACCCTCAAGAAGCTTATCCTCTCCTGGACTCTGGGACACAACACAGACAATGTGAATAGAGATGAATCAATACAAAATAAATTCCAATCCAGTCTCAGACACTTCCTAGCCACGCTACCCTGGCCAAGTCACTTCACCTCTTTTTGCCTTAGCTTCATTATCTGTAAAATTGGGACAATAATAGCACTGATCTCCCAGGAATGTTGTGAGGATCAAATGAGATCATTGTAAAGCTCTTAGCACAGCACCTGGCATACAGGAAACACTATATAAATGTAAGTATTTATATGAATTCATTTCATTGGGAAAATTAAAACAGTTGTTGAGGGGGTCAGAGATTGGGAAGGGCCCTTTCTAGCCAATGACACTTTAAGAGGAGCTAGGAGTTGTAAGAGGTGGAGGTGAGGAGGCTGTGCACAGCATGTGCAAAGGCCAGAGATAAGAGTATCACACACAGAAAACAGCATGTAGGCCAGTTTGACTGCAACATAAAATACATGCGGGAGAGTAATGCTCATAACATAGTTCATAGATCACAGACTTGGAAGACACTTAGATCAGAGATCTAAAATTAAAAGGGATCTATTTTTTTTTTACATTTTTAAAACATTTTTTACATTTTTACAGATGATGAAACCAAGGTCTAGGGAGCTTAAATAGCTTGCTCAAGGTCACACAGGGAGCATCAAAGACAGGTTTGAACCTATGGCTTCTGACTTTGCAGTCAGCAGCCTTTCCATGGTAAAATATAAAATCAGTCTGGAAATAAAGTTTGGAGACTGATTGTGAATGACTGTTAAATGTCAAAGGGAAGAGTCGCTATTTTATCCTAGGTGCAATAGGGAGCCACCAAAGCTTCTTGAGCAGGGGAGTGATGTGGACAGACATAGAAATACAATATCCTAAGGAAGGGAAGCAGGAATATATGCAGAGCCAGCTCAAAGCAGTTTCTGAGAGACAATTTTTAAATTTTCCGCTTGAGCATTTACAACTCAGAAATTGGCAAAACTGGGGTTTGATTTTGTTGTTGATTGTGTAGACTTAAGCAACAAAGTGCTTGGCATTTTGTTGGGAGGAGGCAGGGGGAGACCCGGCTATTAAACATTTGCCAGCACACCGCTAAAGGCAGGTAATAAATAGCCTGGGTTACTGGCAGGGCTATATCTCAACTAGTCTGACAGCATCTGAAGAATTGTGTTTATTTTTAGAAGCCATATTCTAGGAGTCTTTGACAGTCTCAGGGATGTCCAGAAGTGGATGACCAGGGCCTGGTTAAAACCAAGCCTTAACTCAGGTGCCATCTTGTAAGGACTCTTTGGTAGCTTCCCCGTCCTGCTAAACAAGGAAGCCCTGGGGAAGCTGGAATCTCTTAAGCTACCCAGCAAAGTAAGGTCTTCAGTACCAAAGGGAAGCCCCTTATCTTCAGTGGGGAGTTTGCATATCTCTCAGCATGAATCACAACTGTTCCCTAGCCTTGATTTTATACCTCCTCCTAATGCCTGATCTTGCTTGATGAAGACAAAAACCCTACACAAACCCAACAGATTTTTCCAGTTTGGGTACCCAAGTCCACCCAAGGTCCTCAGTGGACCTGTTCCACCCTCCCTGCCTGCCCTTCTGATTGTATTTCCCCTTTGCAGAGATGGCTTGCTTTACTTTCTTAGTGTTGGCTTTGTTTTCTTGTGCTTAAGCTGCATTGATAACACCTACTATGGGGAAACTTTTCCTTATTTCTTTAGTTCTCAGTGGATTTTGACTCCTCAAAATACTCTGTATTTACTTCTCTCTGTAAATGGAAGGTAATCTCCTTGAGGGGAAGGGTTTTCATTTTTGTTTTTGTGTCTTTAGCACTTTGCACAGTGTCTCTAACATAAGTGCTTAATGAATGTTTATAACCTGACCGTCGGGAAGCTCATAGCTCTTTTCCAGAGAGGAGCTAGATGCAGCAGTGGCCATCTCCTGCTCAAAGTCTAGGGCGACATAACACAGCTTCTCCTTGATGTCATGCACGATTTCCCTCTCAGCCGTGGTAGTGAAACTGTACCCTCTTTCAGTCAGGATCTTCATGAGGTAGTCCATCAGATCACGGCCAGCCAGATCCAGATGGAGGATGGCGTGGGGAAGGGCATAACCTTCATAGATGGGCACAGTGTGAGTCACACCATCACCAGAGTCCATCACAATTTGAATTAAACATTTGAGAGGAATTGAAGATGTTTAGTCTGGAAAAGAGAAGATTTAGGGCGACATATGGTAGTTGTCTTTAACTATCTGAGAGATTGTTATGTAGGATAAGGAGGAGAATTTTCTGTGTAGTCCCTGCTGACAGGGAAATTACAGAAAAGCAGATTTCAGCTCAGTATAAGAAAGAGTTTCCTAATAGTTGGAACTGTTCTAAAATGCAACAGGCTGCTCTGCAAAGGAGTGAGTTCTTGGTCACTGGAAGTATTCAAACAAAGGTTAGATGATCTTCCATTGGGGATCTTGTAGAAGGAATTCTTGTTTAGCTGTTGGTGGGACTGGATGGTTGCTGTTCAATTCCTGTTTGATCTCTAAGAGTCCACCATCTATGTTACATGCTAAGTAAGCTTTTGAAGTTGTGGTTCCAGGAAAATTGGGTGGAGATACCTCAAAAGTAACAACCTAAGAAAAGAAAAGCAATAAAATTAAGGGATTTTGTAAAGCTGTTTTGTTCTAAGTCTGAGCTCTTAGTAAATCTTGAAATAATATAACAAATGTTAGGCAAGAACATATGTAAATACTCAGAAGATGCTGGAATCATCAGCAATATCAGTATTATGTTGACAGAGAACAAATAGTACTAGATAAACACAAAAACTTCTATCAACAGTTTTACCAAATAAGTAACCATTGGGAAAGCAGCAGCTGTTGTTACCTTAGCAAAGCATTTCAAAATGTCTGGTTAAGTAGAGAAAGGAAACTCGTTCTGATGGACCCAGTTAAACACAATCACAGACAATCAAGGGCACTGTGGTATCAACTGAAAAACAGAGGAACGTATGGGAAATGTGCTTGATCCAGAATCTAGGAACCTGGTTTCTGCCCCTGGCTCTGATGCCAATTAACTGTGTGACCTTGAAGATTTCCTTTCCTCGCTCTGAGCCCCATTTACCTACTTCATTGTTAAATTTAAAGGGGATTGGCTAGCCCTCTTAGGGCTCATTTACACAGGGGTGTGCTGGAGCCAGCTCTAACCTGCTTATGAAAACTCATTAAAATTTCAGTGTGATCATTCATACCTTAGAAATCAGCAATCAGAAATCAGCACTTGGTTTATCATTTTGTTGCTTTTCTAGACTTAAGAAAGTGTTAATAATGCAAATTAAACTCAAAACCACGTGGATATTTCCCTATTCTCACTTCCAACCCTAGCACACTCTTGTAGTGATTTATAAACTTTGCCTGAGCTTAGCAGGGCTAGAGGAGAAGGCTCAGTTAATGAAGTCATCACCAGACTGGATGTTTGATGAGTGGAAACTAACTACAACTGACATTTGTATAGCATTTTTAGTTCATTTGAGTCTCATAGCATCCTATCCCTCACATCCCTAATATTCTATGATTCTATGACTAATAATTCCTCATTAAATAACTAGCTTGATCCTTCCATCAGCCATCCAAGCAACCACTCACTTACTACAGAGAGTTCATTCATTTGCAACCAGGTAGAAACTTTTTAAATGAATGATTCTGTGATCTAATCATCATGGGCTCTCACAGATAGATCACAACACTTCCACGCCTTTTTACCCTGTGTAGTCCTTGTCCATGTCTTTCCACAAGTCTGCTATAGGAGAATTACTCAAAAGATAATAGGAGTGAGCTTATGGTCACTGGAAGTATTAAAACAAAGGTTAGATGATCATCTGTTGGGAATCTTGTAGAAGAATTCCTGTTCGGCTATTGGTAGGACTGATTTTATACACACATACATGTACACACACACACACACACACACACACACACACACACACACACCAATTTCTTGAATACCTTGCCTTTCCTGCTGGCTATCAAGTTGTCCAGCTGTTATCCTATCCTACAACATGACCAGCCCGTCTCCTTTTCCCTTTATATACACCCTTGATAACATTTTTTGTCCCACCTATTGCAAGCACATCATTGTTGCTAACATTCAGTAATCTGCTTAATCCCATAATACACAGTTTCATTGTCCTTTTATCCACCCGTAAGTCAGAGGTACTGATTCACATGATTTATATGTCACCATTGGGAGAATATTAATGTTACTAAATGGAACTTTTGTGTTACGTATCACTTTTGGGATACTTACATAGTGGCGAACTAAATCTATGGACGTCCAAGTGTGCATCGTGATCTGGACAATACATATTCTTGGTTTTTCCTGTGTGCTAAGTCGATGTTTTGTTATGAACATAGATCTCACTGAAAAAATCCATGAAATATTCCAGGGCTTAGTAACTAGACCTGTGATTTTTTTGATATAGAGAATCTCAGATAAGGAAATTCCCTCTACCAATGTGGGTCAGCACCTTTGCCTCAATTTATAATCATAGTTGCCTAGAACACTGAGAGATTAAGTAGCATGCCCAGAATCACAAGACAATATGCCTCAGAGGTGAGACTTGAATCGAGGTCTTCCTGATTTCAAGGCCAGCTCTCTATCCATATGCTGATTTTTTTTAATTTATGTTGGGAATTAAGGGGGGGAAACAATGTAATATAAGTTATTAGTTAATAGACTCTGATTTTTTTAAGGTGACAGAAATTTTAAAGGATGGAGTCAAGCCACTTTCTTGGTCTAGACCTCAGTCCGCTGCTCTGCTTCCCCTCTACCCTGACTTTCCTACATAAAAATGTTATACAAACCAATAATGATGTTTGAGATGAGCAGGGCAAAGGTGACATAGTACAGAAAATTATGCAATTGAGTCTCAGAAGTAGGAATCTGTGATATCATTTTATCTTCTTAAAGTTTTAATTGTTGCATTTTGTTCCTGCTGAGCATTGATTTCTAACACTGATTTTCCTTCTAGGATCTCATTATTTTATCTTGAAGGTTTATCATCTATTTATTTCTTCCTTAAGATATTTCATAGGCTGCACTCCATGTGGTAACTTAATTTTAGTCTTTTATAAAATAATCTCTCCCTCTACCTCCCTTCCTCTCACTGCAAGTACCTTCCTTTCTCAGACCTTGAATAATACTTTGCAGCTTTCATTTCATTCTAGGATTTCAAGCTGGAAGGGAGCTTAGAAATAGTCTAAACCAACGACATTATTTTACAGATGAAGAAAATGAGGCTTAGGATTATAGCTAGTGTGTATCAGAGTCAGGATTTGGCCCCAGAAACTAGGTTTCCAAATTAGTGCTCCTTCCACAATACAAAATTCTTTCATGGTGGGTTTTGTGTTCCCCATTTTGCATCACGGTTATTTGTGTCTATATTACACACAAACACAAATAGATACTTGATTACAAACGCTTTTAAGTCAGGGACCACTTCTTATGGACTATTTTATCTCCATAAGCACCCGGGGAAGTAAATTACATAAAGAACTTGAATAATGAATAAATATTGGTTGAATTGAATTAACTTGTATATTCACACATCTGTATGGATCTATATAAGTCCTATAAGCGTAGGTGTAAACCTTAGAGCAAGAACAAATGTCAGAGATTATCCTTATTTTACATGTGAAAATATGAAGGCTCATAGAGGATTCCTGACTTGCCTAGGAACATAGATCATCTGACTTTTTGCCCAATATTCTTTCCTTTATACTGGTTGCCTTTCTAGCATATTTGTGCCCTCACACATATAAATAAATAACTGTCAATATACGTGCAATGAGTTATACACATATATAGATATACCTACAGATACACACACACACATATAATATATACACACATATACACATATACATTATACATCTACATGGATGGGTATATAGCCCTACATATAAATATACCCATACCTAGAGGTTAGGTCTCTATAGACCCAGGTTAGGAACATGGTTGACTAGAAGGATGATGGTTCCCACTCATATATAAATATAGCTGTAGATATAGATGTGTATGCATCTGTATATGCATAAGTGTATATGCATATGCATATGCATGTATCTGCATGTACATACACATGTATATGTGTATGTATGCATGTATACATGGACTATATACCCATATGTATATGACAGACATCTATATATACACATGTATGCATGCAAGTATGTATGTGTGTAGCTATCCTTTCAGTTACCCAGGTTCCCAACTTCTGTGTTATCCTGGATTCCTCTTTCACATTCATCCCACATTCAGTTGCTAATTCTTGTAATGTATTTCTCAATATCTGTCGTTTAAAAGCACGCATATACACACATAAATGTGTATACATATGCACGTGAACATATGTGTGTATATATGCATTGCAGGCAGCTAAGTGGCCCAATGGATACTGTGCTGGGCCAGGAGTCAGGAAGACCTGAGTTCAAATCTAGCCTGAAACACTTATTAGCTGTATGACCCTAAGAAGCATCAAACCACTCCTGTATGTTTGTCAAGAAAATCCCACGGACAGTATGGCCCATGGGGTTACAGAGTCAGACATGACTGAACAAAACTCAACAAAAACATACATGCATTATGTGTGTGTGTGTGTGTGTGTGTGTGTGTGTGTGTGTGTGTATGAAACAGAATGGCATACTCTGTAGAGAGGCAGCCTCAAAGCTAGGAGGTCCTATGTTTAAGACCCATGCACGAGCTGTTTGACTGGGAAAATCCCTTAACCTCTCTGTGTCCCCAGGCAAACCTCTAATCCAGTTGCAACCTGCATTAATAGAAAGACCTCCCTCTGTGAATGTAATCACAAGCCTGGATCTATATGTGTATATAGACAGGTATATGTATATGTATGCATAAAGGTATATGTGCAAGTATACGTATAGGTATGTGCATATGTACAAGTCTACATATATGTACATGTAGATATTTGTGTACAAGCATATATATGCATATATGCACAAGTATATGTATATATATGGTACAGGAATGTGTACAAGTATATGTATATGTAGAGATATATGTACAGGTATATTATGGGTATGTGTGTGTATATATATATATATATGTGTGTGTGTACAGGTATGTGCATATGCATATGCATACATATGTGTATTACAGGTATAATTACAAGCATATG